CTGAGCCAAAGGTTAAACCTGATGGAAAATGTCCCTGTCCACAGCACTCCTGGTAGAGCTCTTCTTGAGCTTCCCTGCTGATCATCCTTCGGTTCATTCCTAAGAGTGTGTCCCCACACACATTTATCTGGTGTGTCCTGTCCCCAGCCCCCACCCGTCATGCCTCCAACAGTTTTTTGTGAATGAAAAGTTAAATCACTGTTCATCAAAGCAAAAACATTTAAGATGTATGTGTAAATCTCAGGTTTTTATTCTTAGTAGATAACTTCCTTTTTTCCCACTGCCTTTTTTTCTCCTAAATGAATAAACCTTATGCAGGTGATTTCCTATGTCTTTGAGACTCCTTGTTCTCATCTCCAAATTCTTTGGTGCAAGGAAATGTTGCTTTGCCACTCTTCCAACCTTGTCCTTTTCTCCCCTTCTTGGAGTTTGACAGGGGAGAAAGCACAGCTGACCAAGGGCTTTGAAAACATCAGGTAGAGTGAATCTAGTGTTTAACTGAGTTGAACTAAAACGTGACTTCTTGAAAGAAGTTTGTGAAAGATTTGAAAGACCTGTTGATCTGAGCAGAAAGCACTCGGGGAGCTGTCACGCCACAAAGCCAGCGTCTGGGATCACCTTCAAGTTGACATCCATCAGCATTTGCAGAGCTGGCTGTACCCTGCTCCTTTTAAAGACTTAGGGGCCATAATCCCTCGGCTAGATCAGATGGTAATACCGATATTAGAGGTAGATTTCCAAAGTAGTGCTTGGGGGATTTTGCTGCATCAGAGTTTTTCAGGGGAATTGAACGCTCAGTGAAAATCCATGTATTGCACCCAACCCTTACTTCCAGGAGAATTCTGTCCTTTCTAGCAAAATTTCTCCATTTGAGAGGTGAAAAGTGTGTTGTTTTTTCCTTTAAACCCTTTGTTGACACACTTTCCGGAGAGGGGGTTTGCTGTGAAATCAGACAGGTGTTGCCTGATGGTAGCTGGCGTGTGTGTATTGTGATACTGAATTACCAGTCAGGGTGCCAAGAGTGGGTAATACAGTATGTCTGCACAGGCAGGTGGGGAGGGCAGGGCTGCAGGCGCTGGAATGTTTTCTTCTTTTAAAACATATTATTAAGCAAAAAGCTAAATTTGCTGTTGTTCTTAGCAACCTCTCGAAGTCTGCTTATTTGGGCATGACGTGCAGCACTTGAACCCCAAAAATAGTCTGAGCCAAAGCTCTTTCCTCTCCCTCTCAAACGGATAACACGTCGTCAGGCTCAGCTCTTTTGTTTAAAATAACTTTCTGGTCTGTAGCCCCGGCAGAACTGGTGGTCAGCAAAAAGCTAAATTTGCTGTTGTTCTTAGCAACCTCTCGAAGTCTGCTTATTTGGGCATGACGTGCAGCACTTGAACCCCAAAAATAGTCTGAGCCAAAGCTCTTTCCTCTCCCTCTCAAACGGATAACACGTCGTCAGGCTCAGCTCTTTTGTTTAAAATAACTTTCTGGTCTGTAGCCCCGGCAGAACTGGTGGTCACACTCCTTGGGCTGTTGGCACAGCTTTTGTTTTGATAGATCATGATTACTGCCATCTCACTAAAGCACAGGTTTGTCAGTTGGGTCAAGCTCTTTTTTGGTATTTTTGTTCTTACTTGCTAGTGTAGAAAAATTAATTTAATTAACAGAAGTGTGCTCATTAATAGTCATGCTCCAGACTTCTGGGAATTGCTGCTCTCGTGATCTTACCCATCATACGGTGAGTGTCTGTTAGTTCCCACAGTAAAATGGTGGGCAGAGGGACAGTCACCTTTTGAGAGGTGGGGTGGTTCAGGGATGGCTGGGGAGAAGCATCTGTGGTGAGTGCCTGGAAGTCAGTCACCTCTCTCTCCGAATGCACAGACAGCTCCTGCCTCGGTGTTCTTTTCTGATGCTTATTTACTTTGAAATCTACATGCAATATCCTGTCTTGCTCCATGGATACTGCGATTATCACGGATCCAGTAAGAAGTCACCATGACCTAGTTGTTCACCTCTATGCCAATAGATGGCTGGGAGTCAGGTTACCCGCGGTTGCAGCAGAGTTGGCAGGGTGGGGAACTCAAGCCCCTTGCTGTCTGACAGCAGGTACCCCGTAGACAGATTTACACCGGTGTTAAATGACCGACCACTCGGCGATTGCACACTCGCAGCCGGCTCTGCCTGAGGTAGATGTGAAATCATGGCAATGTGCCACGGCCCTGAGCCCTGTGTGTAGTGCCCATGAGACTTGGACGACTCCTGCAATCAGGTGACAAAAAGGTGGCACAGCCCTCCTGCTGCCTCCTCTGCTGGGTGCTGGTGACTGCCTCCCCATGCCCTGACAGTGTCCCAGAGCAGAGGTGGGGTCTTCATCTCCCTCCTCTGACATGCCAAGTTCAAGGTGTTGGCCAGAGCCTGGAGCTGTCCCCCCTGTGTTTTGGGGACATGTTGCACAGGCTTTTGCATCGTAACCCATTAGCCCTTGGCTGCTTGCTTCCTGTGACTTTCGGCTGGAGGTCCAATGCCTTCCCCACTGATAGTAGCCAGTTGGGGTGCAGAAGGATACAAGGAGCAGATTCCCTTCCTTTGCTGACAGAGGGGCCATGCTGTTTGTCCTGGAGCCTCAGTATTCGTGCTGGTGTTGGGCACCTCTCCTGTCCTTCTGAAAGCAGTGATTTTTTTTTTTTTTTCACTTCTTGTAACCTCAACTTTCTGCCTTTGAAGATGATATATGTAAACTTACAGTCAACACCAGCACTCCTGATCCATGACTGAGGGGTGTATCTCTGTCCATTTGTTCAATTCTCCAAATGCCTGCAGTCACCAGACACGTTGGCTCCTGGTGTGTGCTGTGCCCTCCTTGTGCCATTGCACTTCCATATTTATGCTTTCATTTCAGCCAATCGCCTTTGGGTGCCCAATCTTTTACACTTCAATGATGTTAAGGCATCCAAGTGATTAGTTGGCTTGTTGAGATTTTTGAGGCTTTCTGTCCTTGAAACCTCCACGATGCTGTTAGTAAACTGATGTGTTGAGGGAAACAATGCTTTCTAAATTTTCTTCCTCTTTCAAATATAAGTGATTATTTTCCGATCTCTTGAGATAAAAAGACAACATAGTGAGCTCACTCTTACCTTCAGTCCGGAATTGCTTTTTAATTAAAAAACAATAAGGAATTTCAGGTTTAAAAGATGAATGATATAAATCACCATCTAGATCTGTTTCGCAACTTTTTTTTGTAATTGTTTGGCATGTTCCCTGTTTCCGCGGGCTGGGTAAATCCTTTGTGGGTTTAATCTCTAGCCTGCAGGCACATAAAATACATTGCACAATTTGGCCTTTGCATTTTAAAGAATTTTTTTTCCTTAGCTTAAATACTTGTAGCATCTTCTCTGCCATATGCAAGGTGGTGTTGAATGAGGAGGGAAGGGACCAGTTTGTCTTATTTTTAATCCCTCTCTCCTCCCCAGTGTCTCTCCCAACTTTGGTTTTTCCTATGTTAGCAATGTGTATACTTTGAAATGCAAATAATCCCTGAATATCGCTAGCTAATCCTTCTGTTGCCATGTCACCCGCCACCCACCCATGCGTGCGCTGGCTCTTCCTGTCCTGGCAGGGTGGATGGTCACATTGTGCTCCCGACCTGTACGAACCTGCGGGTGCTCTGTTTGAAGGGTTGGGATTGGGGCTGTATCGGCCACGGCTGCGGGAGATGCTTTTTGAGAAAACAAGCACCTTGGGGCTTTCACTTTTCTTTCTCTGCAAGAACCGAAGAGATGGAAGCGGGGAAATGCCAGCAATTCCTGTGGGTTACGTGGTCAGATTTACTGGGAGAGCTCTGTACTTGTGGTCTGAGCACCAGGAGAAAGCTGAATGCTTCTGGAGTGGGGTACTGATGAAAAATGCCATATTTTGGAAGAACCTTGTACAGAAGAGGGGACTGGAGTCTCCTTCATGGGGGACATCCAGAAAAATAGGTTCAGGTTACACTGTACTGAACCACATAAGAGTTTCCTTGCTAAGCACATGCCCTTATTTCGGTGGGCATTGCTGAGCAGAAACCGACGACTTCAGCCTGTGCCTTGATGTTTTGCTGAGTAAAGGTTTCCAGATGTGAACACACTTCAGGAAAATGCTGCCCCAGTGTTACTGCTTTGGTAGGGAATATAGAAGAGGATATCTAATATGCTCTAAGTTAGCGCAGTGAATAGGAGCATCTTGTTCTGCTCCAGGCATTCATGACACGCCCCGGGATGGTCACAGCCTCCCTTTTGGAGCCAGTTTCTGGGTTGTGCTCAAGGTCCTACCATGGATCTGGTCTTTGAGCTGTTCAGGTTTTCTGGGATTCGATTATTAAAGAAAAATAATATTTATAAGTCTATTTTTTACCTCTTTCCTGGATATAATGCTTTGAGTTTAGAAGTGTGGATATTGCTACAGAGGTGGTCAGCAGAGGTGTGAGATCATTTTAAAAGATGACTGAAACCTCAGATTTGGTGCAACTCCCCAGCTGTTCAGGGTCTTGCTTTCAAGTACTATTCAATCTCAAGGTTCACGTGTTTATTTCACCCTTCTGCAAAAGTAGGAGGGCTTCTTACGAAACAGGATAAAACACTTTGTGTGTGGTTTTTATTGCTTCCAGGATGTGAAAAGGATAGTGCCCGTTTTGTTAGGTGGGTAATGTGTGTCCCTCGGAAGAGGGGGTATGTGCCCAAGAGAAACAAAGACTGTATTTGTTCATGTAAAAGCAGTGTTCTTTATCTGAAGGTTTTTGCCTTTGGGAAAACTAAGCTGTACGTTTATATTCTACTATTCTAAAACAAGTAAAGGTCTGGTGGTTTTGCCGCTTGTCTGGAAGTGTGGCAGTTTTGTGAACAAGTGCAATGCATATGCAGTACCTGGTGCATTCAGCTACATGTACAAACCCATCTCCATCCTTCTGGCATGCCTCTGCCTCTAGCTGAACATCCTCTCTCTCTCTTGCTTTTTCCCCCCTTGTCCAGTATTCCACTGAACTGAAAAAGCTGTACTGCCAGATCGCCAAGACATGTCCCATCCAGATCAAAGTGATGACCCCGCCGCCTCAGGGAGCAGTCATCAGGGCTATGCCAGTCTACAAGAAAGCTGAACATGTCACCGAAGTGGTCAAACGCTGCCCAAACCACGAGCTGAGCCGGGAGTTCAACGAAGGTAAGGAGGGGAAGTGCTTTGCTGGCAGTCCCTCTCCAAAGCCGCTTGGCTGATGAGCGGCCAGTGCTGGGGTCTGGTGCCCCCTTCACGGCAAACCTGGTGGAAGCAGCCCTCCCTGCAATGTCTTCTGCAGCTTTTTGTTTCCTGTGCTTAGCAGGAAGTTTCATACTATACTTTTAACTGTCCCTGTGCAAGCACGTCCTTGGGAAGAAAGTACCAAAATAAACCTCTCGCTTGCCCAGGTTGGACGGATGTCTGTCCTCGTGGCAGACAGTGCCCTTCTGGCAGCCCTTCCCTGCTCTGCTTTTGCTCCTGCGATGAGTAGCAGCTGTTCTTGTCCTCAGGAATGAGCTTCCATGTCGCTGGGGTAGGGATCCAGTAACAGGATGCAATATCATCTCTAGTCTTTAATCCACGCCTCAAAGACGGAGGGGCTGTTTTTCTCTAGCAGGAAAACGCTAAGTGCCAGCATCAACGGTAGGCAACCTTCCTGTACGTTTAAAGCTATCAGTTCAGTCTTAATGCTGCAATCTTTTACTTGCTTCTCCGCATGTTAATGAAGCAGCAGCTGTTTAAAAACATCCTGGAGTTTTCTGCAAACTCACGGACTGGGCTCTGTTTTGCCTTGGCTGCTTAAGTTCACATAAGTTCAGATGAGCATCTGTTTTATTCTATGTACATTATTTATCTCCTACTGTAAAAAAACACGGTTGGTGTCAGTTAGCAGGATGTCTCAGGAGCCTGGATCCCTTCACTGGTTACAGTGCAGGCAGCTAGACAAGCCCAAAAATAAGCAAGGACTTTGGAGTGTAAAATCAGAGTGGAGCGAGACAGTTCTTTGAAATAATTTTTCATATTATAAAGTTTTTCTGATAGCACTAGATTTTTTTTTTAGGTTGATACCTGTTTCAGTGACGAAGTTTTAAGAAAAAACCCTAAAATTATAAATTCTTATTATGAATAAGTTATTTCTCTAGAAATAAGCTGTATTTTGTGTAAGAAATGAACAGTTCAAACACGGAACAACTCTTTGGATGAACACAACAAACTTCTCAGAATTTAGTTGTATGTTGTAGAAACACTGAAAACTTTCAGGAAGCAAATTTTAAAAATTATTAAAGGGGCCTAGAAACAAAGATGATCATGTTTCCTTTTGTGGCTGCTGTAAGCAAGGATGGTTTTTCAAGTTGACCATTTATTAAATGCATATTTCTCCTGCTGCTCGAATCTTTTTTTATCTCCCTAGATCAAGACTGATGGGAGGGAACAGAAGGGGGCTAGCAGTTGATGGGGAAAAGAGTAGTAGGGATTGAGACCTGAGGGAGTTTGCTTTGTGCACACATTATGGGGAGGAAAAGAAAGGCTGGTGTGAAAATCCATGTGGAGTTAACTGCCTAAGAGTTGCTGTGAGCTGCCATTCAGTTGATGTTTTGGCTCACTTACTCTGTGGGATCTTGGGAAGCCCATGTTCAAGTTTACTCAAAAGCATCCAGCATGAGCTTGAGAAAGGTTAGCATTGCCTTTCACGTCTGGGAGTGTGCAGGAGGGATGCTTCAACAGCTGGAGGCACGTGTGTGCTCTGATAGACTTCTGGGGCCAGGTGAGGGGGTTTCCCTTGGTGGAAGGTCTTGCTGCCCTGCATGTGAGCTTGCTTCACTGAACAGTGTCTCTTTGTTTTTTTCCTCCTTACCTCCGCAGGGCAGATTGCACCTCCCAGCCACCTGATCAGGGTGGAAGGGAACAGCCATGCCCAGTATGTAGAAGATCCCATCACCGGGAGACAGAGCGTGTTGGTCCCCTACGAGCCACCACAGGTACGTTGCAAGCTCAGGGTGGTGGCATCCTGGCACGCGAAGGGGTGAGGGTTGTAACTCTAGTCAGAGGAGCCGGGAACTTGTGCAGTCCCTGTCTTCATCACAATGAATCTCTTCTTCCTCTTTATCAGAAATGAGCTTTTAAACACCCTCTTTATCCCTTGAAGAACAGGACCTCCTAATTTCTTTTATGGAAGCCCTCTGGTGGGTTCTATTTCATGCTAGTCTGATTGCAGCACAGCTGTGGGAGTGCAAGAGGAGAGCCTGGAAAAAGCAAAGCTTTCCATCCACCATCTCTTCTTCATCTCCTTTGTCTCGTCTAGGTTGGTACAGAGTTCACAACAGTCTTGTACAACTTCATGTGTAACAGTAGCTGTGTGGGAGGCATGAACCGTCGCCCGATTCTCATCATTGTGACACTGGAAACCAGAGAGTAAGTGGTGCATCATCACTGGTGTAGTCCTTTGCCTGTGAAGTGTCTTTCTGGTTTCTTTTCTGCTCAGGGCAGCATTGCACATCCTTAGGGACAGTTGGATGCAAGGGGCCATAGGATATTTTTTTAAATCTTTGCAGGTGGGAGTTGCCCAACGCCTGGGACATCCTGACTGAGAAATGGGAGGTTCGGGACTGTCTGTGCATAGTTTGGCGTGAAGCTGGGGGATGCTGCTGGCCCACATCTCAGCCAGCAGCTTATGTTTCCTCTTTCACCTCTCTTCCCAGTGGGCAAGTCTTGGGCCGCCGATGTTTCGAAGCCCGCATTTGCGCTTGCCCAGGCAGAGATCGCAAAGCAGACGAGGACAGCATCCGCAAGCAGCAAGTCTCCGACAGCACAAAGAATGGTGATGGTACGAAGCGCCGTAAGTAGCTGGCAGAGCTGGGCAGATTGCAGATTGTGCTGTTACTGGCTGAGGTGTGACCCTGGGGCTTGTGCCGCAGGGTTGGAGTGGTGCTGTGCATGGGCTTGGAGGCAGGAGGGCATTATCTTATCCTCCCAGGGTGACTCAACCTGAAAAATGACCTGGTCTTCACAAAACAGCATTTGATGATCTGGGTTTGTGGGCTCCCTTGCAGCGCTGCCTGTGTTAGATTAGCCTTGCTGTAGTGGCTGGAGAGGGTGTTTATTTGCCACCCTGAAGGTACATGGTTGAGACTCTACTTTATGGACCTTTACTGTTTCTTTGGGACTGTGCCATTATTCTCTGCTCCTCCTTCCCAGTGTCTCGTGCTGTGGCATGTGTGTTTCTGCCAGAGGGAATCTAGATTAAGACTGCATGTAAACCCTGCTCTGCATTGGAGGTGCTCTGGCAGGTGGCCTCTCTCTATGCTTCGAGTTCAGTTTGCTCATCAGACATGCAAGATGTGGAAACCCATCTCTGAGTCTGCACATCTACACTCGCTGATAGTATCAGGCTGAAAAGCAAGGCAGAAGGTTTTAACAGGAAGCAGATTGGAGAGGGGCTTAATTTTCGCAGTGAATTCTGCATGTTCCCTGCCTGTTGTCTCACCTTCATGGATCACTGATCCACCAACAGCTCCTGGGTACTGTAATACCAAAGCTTGCAGTCTTTCCTGCAAATAGCTATGGCTTGTTCTAGGTACAGCTCGCTGGGTTTTTGTCATATATTCAGCGTTCCTTGTCTGCTCTGATTCCCCAACCAGTATGGCCACCCAACATCTGCAATGTTGTGCCTACCTTATGGAGCTGTGTCTTTCTTTTTCTTCCCTTTTTTTTTTTTTAATTTAATGAATGCTTTTGGTGTTTCTCTTCTAGCTTTTCGACAAGGAACTCACGGCATACAGATGACATCTATCAAAAAAAGACGTTCCCCAGATGATGAGCTCTTATACTTGCCGGTGAGTTCTCTCTAGCTTTGCGTTTACCCTATGTTTAGTATCTTCCTCAGTGCCTTGAGGCAAGCCAGCTGCTCACCTAGACCTCAGAGAGAACTGGGGACGGGATGTGGATTTTTTTTTTTTTTTTAAATCCCCAGAGCTATCTATTTTAAATGCCTATTCCAAGCAGAAAATACAAAAATTCCCCACCATTAGCTGCTCACTAGAGTGTCTTGTGCAATGCATATGAGAATATCCCAAGGGATCTGTGTGTCCTGGTGGAAACATTTGTTTCGGAGACCTAACTGGGTTTCTTCCTCTGTCATTTCTGGGTCTGTGGCACTTGACCTTCCTCTTGCTGACAAAGGTGGATCATTCTGTGACTTTTATATGTATTACCATTGTAATGTGCTGAAAGAAGGGAAATACACTGTCTTACGTGTAGGATCAGAAAGGGCAGGAAGTATATGTAACTGGATATTCAGCTGCTTCCCCATGAGCCACATTTGGCTGGATAAATCACAGCCCATGATGTGCTTAGGAGAAGGGAGATCCAAACCCAACAACCAAATTCAAGTACTCTTCTTCCTCAAGGCATGTAAGATCCAGCACCAGATCTGCTTACATCTGAGGCAGGTAAAGACGTTTTCTGTCTAACAGATTGGATCAGAATATTGCTTTTGGCTAGTGTAGATTTTGATCGAGCCAGATGACATCCCCAAGATGTTCATTAGCCTGCAGTATCAGATTATTGCTCTTCAACATTATCTGCTGTACCTCTAGCACAAGGCTTAGTGGTTTTATTCCCTTTGTATAGAGTATAAACAGAGTATTTGCATCCTGCTCTTGTTGTTTACTTGACTTTATCTAAAACTTGCTGAGGTGTCTGTCACTAAGGACTATAGTTATGGTCCTTTAAGGCTTTTCTTTTTCCCCCCTCTCCTTTTCCCATGATCCAGGTGAGGGGACGGGAGACGTATGAAATGCTGCTAAAGATCAAAGAGTCCCTGGAACTAATGCAGTACCTTCCCCAGCACACGATTGAGACCTACCGGCAGCAACAACAGCAGCAGCACCAGCACTTGCTCCAGAAGCAGTGAGTATGGGTGTGCTTGCAGTGACCTGTGCAGTGAGGATGGTGGGGAAGGGGGAGAGAGGAGAGAGACACAGAAGGCTTCTGCACAGTTGTTTGTAGGGACGCAGTGCTCAACTGAGGGCTGAGCACTCAAGAGTATTGTTTTGGCAAAATCCCTTCCAGCAGCACAGCTGCTTGTTAACTCCTTGGTCAGAGCTGATAGAAATTGATGCCAGGAGTTTGGCATCTCGAGAGTTCGAGATTCAGATTTCGTGACCTGTGCAATGGGACAAAGCAGTCTTTCTTCCCCAAGTATACATCCTGACTGCTTGATTCCGTCCCTCTCTGGTCTCTTGTCCCACACAATTCACCTTTTGGCCATGGAGGGTGAATGAGGACAGGCTCAGTGCCTTGTTTCTGACTTCATCCACAGCCCAAGGCACAGCAAAGCAGTGCTGTGGAACAGCCTGCAGACAGAAACCCAGTGCATATGTGTGCCCAAACTGGGCAGGCAAGATGGGGGTCCCATGCTCTCATCTGCTCCATGGGAATGGTAGGGGACATGGAGCCATCTCCATGCCTTCTCCTGAGTGTCCATCTGAGCACCTTACCAACAGCATGCAAAGCTAGGACTGAGCACTAGCTCAGCTGAGTACGTGGACTCCCCTGCTGAGCACCTCTGGTGCTGTTGGAGGGCTGGTGTCTCAGTGGGATAGAAATACTGTAGGTCCCTCAGCTATAAAAAGGGAAGCTGAAAGTTGGTAGCAAGTATGAAACATGTAATAATTGCTTTGTGACCAGTGGGTGCTTCAAAGGAAGACTCTACACATGCACTTTTAAAGCATTTTAAAAAACTGTAGTTTGTCACTGGCGAGTGTCTCCACATTGCGCATGAGCAACTTTCCATCCAGGCAGACATAGTCCCTGTCTGACCTCGGCTGGAAGGGCTGTGCCAGGATTACTTTGGATGGTGTAAGTTGCCGGAGGATGGGCAGAAGAAGGGCCAGATAAGTGTCTGGTTTCCATTTTCCCCCTCTGTTCCCAAAGCTTTGCAGTTACAGAGGCTGGGTCAGAGAATGACTTCCCAGACAGACTGTAAGCGGTGTCATTCATGGGTATTGCTTCACCTGCTGTATCAGGTGACAGAAAATAGCCACCCAGGCTGTAGGTAGCTGCCAGCAGTAGTGCTTAGGATCTCATGTGTTCCTGCTGGTAAGCTTGTGCATTGAGAGACTGTGGGTATAACTCATTCCACTGTAGAGGTAAGCACGAGGCCAAGGCACCACATAAGTCCCACTTGAGCCTGTAGGGATTTATTTTGGTGCCTTGGCCTTGTCTCAGGACTTCTGCAATACCATGGCTCTGTGCCAGACCTCTGCATGTGTTCACATTTCAACCTGTGTGTTTTTAGTGTCAGCTGTAGTCTTGTGGAGGTGTGAAAAAAGCCTTGTGCCAAAATGGCTGGAGCACCCAGGGGCTCTGGACTCTTTTTTTGGGGCACTTAAAACTGTCATTATTATGTCTTTTTATCACTCATCTGCACTCTTTGTATATATCACAGTTTGTATTTACTAGCTCCTAGGCATTGCAGCCTTAGAGCACTCAGCTGCGTGCCTTCAAAGCTCCACCTGAACTACAACCATTTCAGCTGAGAAATGGTTTTGTAAGCAGAAATGGACAGCAGCAGATGACAGCTTTCACTTGGTGCTGACAGTTGCTTTGCCATAATTACTGGTTTCATTCTTCCTGTATCAATAGGATGTGTTTCTGGCAACTGAGGTTGGTATTTGTGTTACCTTTAAGACTACCACGTGTAAGTCCAGCCATTGAATTTTATGAAACTTCTTTTGGCATGTCTCCTGGCACTTGTCCAGTTATATACTCATTTTTCTCAGCTGCTGAGTGTGCTCAGACACTGGGGAGAAAGATTAAAAGCTTTTAAGGATGCCAGGAATGAGGAGAAAAATAACTTCCAGTGTTTGTCCAGAGCTGCTGCAGTTGTCTCTGCTGACAGCCTGCCACCAAGCAGGGTCCTCTGTGCTGAAGTGCATCTTCAAGCAATAGCTTCTTCAGGACAGTTGGGTTCTGGTGCTTTTTCCTCAAAAACCCAGGGTATGACTTAACTTCTGAAGGAATGTGTTCAGGGCAATGGGGCAGACGCAATTGCACCCCAAAAAAATTGTAAAGAACCTTCAGGTCCGAATGTGAGAATGGGGAGGGAAGATGCTGAAGGAACTGGTTTGGGTAAGGGCAACCTTGCATGCGAGCATGTTGCGGGGACATGTCCTGCCACTGCTTCCTTGTCAGACTGGCCAAACGCAGCAGCACAGCGACTCCTTTGTGAGCCTCTTCTGGTTTTAAAAGAAAATGCCTTTCACTTTGTAAGTAGGGACGTACTTTCAAAACTCAGTCTGTTTTGCTTTCATTCAAAGTGCATGTTGAAATTGGGAGCTAGGAAAGTGCACGTGCAGTGACCAAGAACAAATGTGTAGGAAGCTGCAGGTCCTAGCAGGGCTCTGTGGGGCCAGAGAGTTTGTGAGTCACCTTTGGCACTTTCTTCTCAAAAAGGAGCTGCATCCACATGTGCTCCATTGTCAAGCCTTGATGGAGGAATTGCTTGGTTTTTTTTCATTTTATTTTTCTGAGCAATGGTTAACACAGAAAAGCTATCTAGGTATGTGGGAAGAAGTTTCTCTTTCATTCCTACAACACGGAAAGCTTTGCCTTTTTTGAAGAGTAGGAAAAGCAAGGATGAGATTATCATGGTGAAACATAGTTTTAGAAATATAAATCTGTCATTTTGGAAAATAACTGTATAATTGCTCTCATGCACACACAGACTAGCATTGCATTTGTCAGGCCAGCAGATGTAACTGTCTCACTGTTCTAGAATAAAAAGTACAAATCTGGTGAGAATCAGAAAGCTGTGTGTCCCGCAAGATGACCAAAATATTGCAATGCTTATGTTGTGCCAGACAACAATCTTTCTCTGTCTCATCTCCTCTCTGTTTGTTCCTTTGTGCATGGTTTTCTCTTACTTACTGTTATGCCAAATACCTTCATGATCATAGGTGGGAAGGTGGGTGGGTTTTTTCCCTCTTCTGCAGTTTCTATTCTTCCTTTTTTACTGCCAAATCCTGGGGCCCATATTTGAACAGCAGAACACACATTTACTTAGAAGACTTCCTTTTCATGGTCTGCTACCATAGAAAACATGGATTTGCCATAAGATCCCTGCTGCCAGAGATACCAGAGGTGGCCCATGCTTTGCTGGGGAGGGAAGATTTCTTTGATACTCTGCTGTGAAGTACGTTTACTGTCAATATTCCCAGGGAGTATCTGCACAGCCTTTAAGGTAAATGCTAGAAAACACTTTCTGATATTTAGCAAAATTTCCTGTGATGCATTTCACCCTTCTGAGCACTGTTTTCAGAACACTCTTTATTTCAATTTGCTATAGCAGAGAATCATAGTCTATCTCGAGTTGGAAGGGACCCATTAGGATCATCACGTCCACCTCCCTTGACTGAAGGGTTTTCACAAAGTCTTACCGTGGCTACCAAGAAAAGGGATCTTATACCCCAGCAAATGTCTCTCTCGTATCAGCAGGGCTGCAGCTACCAGCCCACTGGCTGCCTTTCAGTCTAGTGAGAAGCACAGCTCATTATCCAAATGAGAAGGAAATAATCTCATAAGTGAAGTATGACAGAGCCGAGCTATCCAGTGCCTGCAGTGCTCCAGCTGAGATGGAAGCTACAAGGATCCTGGTGCTTGCTTTTGGGGAAGGGGGCTAGTGGGGGAGGTAGTCTTCATACTTCCACCTATTTATTCTTATTTTTTGTGGTGAAGCAAACAGTGGATTTTTGCATGGCTTGGTTTTGTAGTGCTGTGCTTGCATGCGTTGTGAACTCCAGGCACTCGGATAATGCCCTCACTAGGGAATTGCCAAGATGAAAGTAAGTAAGAGGAAGTGTGGGATTAGTTATATGAAGACATGCTATGTTTGCTTTGCCAGCTTTGAGGGTGCAGTGCCTTCTGCATCAGCTGGCAGCCCCAGGAACCCCTTGGCTTTAGTACAGAGGGTCCCCTGGCTTTGAAAAGAGGAGTAGTTAAGATGTAATCAATGTGGCCCTTTCACAGTAGGCACCATCCTCTCTCCCTAGCAACAGCTTCTGTTTTTTAAGTAAATAGAGTTCAAAGTTGTCTCAATGGAAGCTGCTTCTTGCCTTTTCCCCTTTGTCTGAGTGCCTTTTTATCTCTTATACTTGCTGCTGGGAGCAGTATCTGGGCACCATTTACACCCATGAGACTGGGACACAGAAATCAGATTTCCCTATCAACTACTTATTTCCTCTTGCTTGCCAAACACTTGCCTGTACCTGGGACTTTCCAGCTTTCTAAATCTCCCTGTCACATAACCTCACTGTAGGTGCTAAGGCATCTGCTTTTCCCCTCCTTCAAAGCCCACAGTGTGATCATGAAGGTGGAAGGTGACTGTTTCTCTCTTGGTGGCTGGTGAAGGGTCCTGTACATTCATCTTTTTCTTTTCTCTGGTTCCTTCTCTACAGTCTCTTTTCAGCCTGCTTCAGGAGTGAACTCACGGACTCAAGGAGAGACCCTCCCAAGCAGACCGATGCCATCCTAAAACATTCCAGCCCCCCAAACCCATCAGTTTATCTGTAAACCGAGCTGGTGAGGGGTCACTTTGCCCAGCTGTCAGGACTAGGAACAGTGGGGCAAATACACAGCCTGATAGAAACAGAGCAAATAGTGAGAGTAATCTCCTGATGGGACTCAAACTTTGCAAAACCAGGCACTTCTACAGACCTCTTACCTGTAGCCCATAGTGTTGGGAGGTCGGGAACCACAATGTCGTCTGTCTGGATGTAACATTTTCTTCCTGGGTTTTTGTAACCTGTGGATACTTTCTCCTCCTCTGTATTTGTGAAACTCACAGGGTTTCTATGAGCAGGTCTCAATTTTAAAATGCCTCTTGTCTTGTTTAAATTAAAAATGTGTCT